GTTTAATATCTTGCAACGCCGCGGTTAATTTCTTGGTCAGTTACATAGCTGCGTTTACCTTACTCAATAGAATAGTATCTTGACCGGACAGTTTCTATAAAAATTTATTTGTTATATGTTTCTTGTTTCATTATTAACTTTTTAAACATTTGTTTTTATTGTTATTAGACCTCGTAAATTTTATTTAACAAATTTTAACTTTATTTATGGAAATATGACACTTTAGTTCAAAATTAATTTTGCATAAATAAAAAAGTAAGTCTTTATTTGGTTAATTGTTATTTACCTTTCTTGAATCATCATGATCAGTTTGATCAATGTTTGAATTTATTGAATGTTTTCATTTTCTTGAATTTTTCCTTGCTTTAGCAGATAATTCTCGCTGAAGTTGCTCTAAGTGCTCTTCTTCAGCTAAATAAATATTTAAATGTCATATAGAGGTTTCTTGTATCTTTAATGGACAAATTTTTAAATTTTTATTAATTCGAATAAAAAATAAACATTTATTATTTTAATATATTTTAAAACACTTTTTTATCAGTGGAAATATTGTATACGCTCTCAAATGTATACCAATTTTTTAAACTAATGAAATTTTATTTTTTCTTTAAATCAGATTACTGTTTATACTAATTTTTAGAATTTTGTTTGCAAAAATAAAAAAATATTTGTATTTAAATAATTAAGGTATTTAATTTTCAATTCTTTTATCTCAATTTTGTTTTAATTTTTTAAATTGTTTTAAAAAATTTTAACAAATAAATATTAAAAATTAAATCAAATTGATAACCTGACATGTTTTTTATTTTTTATTTTTTTAAATCGTATTTCCACAAAACAGTTTTCTATAAAAATTTATTTTCCTTTATTATAAAATATTTTTATTCATTTTTTTAAAAATCCATAAAAATTAAATAAATAAAAAGTATTAAGATTAAAAGAAAAACTTTCTTCAGTTTTAACATTTTTAACTCACTTTAAATTTCAATCACGTTTCCAGTATAAGTCTTCTGGACTGCTGAATTCTCAGGCCACAAATATTGGACACTCGATCCAATATTTATTTCTGGTAACTTTTGATCAAAGAGAATCGAGTCAATATAAATTATTGTATAATAACCATCACCTTCCACAAGAACTAGTTCATCCATTTTTTGATATGTTATTTATCAAAATTAATTAGTGTGCAGTTTCGTATAAACAACTTATACAGAAAGGTTAAATGAAAATATTCGTCTTTTGTTTTATTAACTATTTTGTTTTACAAACATTCATTTTTATTTAATTTTGTATCTATTTTCAAGTCTATGACTCGGACAGATTCTATACCATTATTTCAAACACAACGATTGTTTTTTATCCAAACTCTTAATACTTAAAATTACTTAAAAAGAAATATAAATTTTATTAAAATATTTATTTTTTGATCAAAATAAAAAAAATCACACAAAAAAATTATAATTAAAGTAAAATGATATTTAATGATTTTTTAAAGACTGTTCCTTGAAAATACGATTTGAAAAAATTAAAACTAAGAAACATGTCGTGTTATCAATTTATTATAAACTTTATTATTAGTATTAATTTTTAATGGGAATTCAAAAATTAAAAACAAAATTTAGATTAAAAGTTTCAAAATTAAAAAATTTAATTCATTATATAATGCAAATATTTTTTGGTTTTTGCAAACTAAATTTTGGAAATTGGAAGAAGCAGAAATTTGATCTAAAGAAAAATAAAATTTCATTAGTTTAAAAAGCTGCTAAAAATTTGATAGTGTTTGAAATATTTATCATAATAAAAAAGTGGTCTCAAATCTTATATTTTGCATTTGTAATGTACATTTTTGTTAAAAATATAATAATTTATTTTCATTGTGATACCTAATAACTTAAAACTTTTATGTTTTTTATTTTGAGCTAAAATGTGCGTTTTCTATTAATAAATTCAAAATTTGATTTTGTTCATTAAACTATCAAAATTTATTGTAAAAATAATTTGATAAATAACCCCACTTTATACTAACAAATGTTTAAGAACTCAATAACAAATATGAAATGCTAGTAAATATAAGTAAAATATACTTACCTATTTTACTGAAGAAGCTGCAACAATAAAGTTTTGGTGAATATTATACGGAAAAAATAGGAAAAGAACTAGGCGCAATTGCGCCTACATCTAGGATTTCGTGGCGCTTTAAATTTTAATTAAAAAAAAAATCAAAAATAAATAATTTAAAAATAAATAATAAAATTTATTTCATAAATTTACCTAAAACATTAGGTAAAATGTCCATTTGATAATGTCCACTATTAAGACATGTCAACTCTTGGACATGTCAACTATAGAGACATGTCAACTATAGGGACATATCAACTACTGGGACATGTCAACTATAGGGACATGTCAACTATATGGACATGTCAACTATATGGACATGTCAACTATTGGGACATGTCAATTAGTGAGACAGGTCAACTACTGGGACATGTCAATTGTAGGGGCATGTTAACTAATGGGACATGTAATGTCCATTCATGTAATGTCCATTCGGGAAAATGTCCATTCAGTAAATGGAGATTTGGGATCTGTGGGGCCCCAAAATTTGAATTTGGGAGCTATGGTGCCCCAAATTTTGAATTTTGTCAACTATAGAGACATGTCAACTATAGGGACATGTCAACTATATGGACATGTCAATTATTGGGACATGTCAATTACTGAGACAGGTCAACTACTGGGACATGTCAATTGTAGGGGCATGTTAACTAATGGGACATGTAATGTCCATTCATGTAATGTCCATTCAGTAAATGGAGATTTGGGATCTGTGGGGCCCCAAAATTTGAATTTGGGTGCTATGGTGCCCCAAAATTTGAATTTGGGATCTGTGGTGCCCCAAAATTCGAATTTGGAAGCTATGTTTGCCCAAAATTCGAATTTGGGATCTGTGGGGCCCAAAAATTCGAATTTGGGATCTGTGGTGCCCCAAAATTCGAATTTGGAAGCTATGTTTGCCCAAAATTCGAATTTGGGATCTGTGGTGCCCCAAAAGTTTAATTTGGGATCTGTGCCCTAAAATTTTATTTTGGGAGCTGTGGTGCCCCAAAATTTTAATTTGCGATCTGTGCCCTAAAATTTTATTTTGGGAGCTGTGGTGCCCCAAAATATACTACGGACAGACGGACGCCAAAGTGAAACTATAAGGCTTTCGGCCATGGGCCACGAAACCCTAAAAATGACCTAGTTATTTTTCAAGTCAATTACATTTAATCCAGACATACTAGAAATAATACATATTAGACTGCGTATAATTAGAATATAAATTCCAGCTGTAACAAGGGTTGATGAGTGGACAAGAGAAGAAACAGGGGTAGGTGCTGCTATTGCAGCAGGGAGTCATATTGAAAATGGGATTTGGGCTCTTTTTGTTATAATTATAATTAATAAAAAAATTAAAAATATTAAAGAGTTAAAATCATAAAATTTAATATTTCATGATTTTAAATTTATAGATAAAAAAATTATTATAAGAAGTATGATGTCTCCAATACGGTTAGTTAATAAAGTAATTATACCTGAATTAAAAGATGTTGAAGATTGATAATAAATAATTTTATAATAATTTTATTTTTAAGATCTCAGTTAGGTTAGTTTAGCTCAGGGGTTAGGTATTCGGTTTGCGTTCGATAGGTTGTGAGTTCGATTCCCTGCGTTTGCGAGATTTTCTTCGATAGGAGTAAATAAATATAATAAATTGTAAAAATAATAATTAAGAATGTGTAACGTAAAGATAAAAAAATGTTGTACGATAATTTATTTTTTTTAATGATAAAATATTGATTTTTTTTAATTTTTAAATATTTGTAGTCAGAATTTATGAGAAGTAAGTCAGGAATCTTCAAAACTATTTTATAGAAAGAAATGTCATTTAACATCACAAATAGTCACAGGGTTTAATGATTTATGGTATGGCAAAAAAAGGGTCTCCGACCCTCATAAAAAATCTGACTACTATTGACGATTCTTTGACTAAACCTCACTTATTGTGGTGTTCTGTGACTGCAATCGTAACAAAAACAGTCTCAAAACGTCAGAGATCCTGACTAATTTTTTGACGTTTTGTGATTTTATTTTTAGCAGGGCTCTTACACGGTTGCCATTAGCAACTGCTCCTGCAAGTGAAGTGTGACTGCTCCCTTAGGGTATGGTCACACCATCGTTAGCAAGAATATTCTGATTGAACAGTATTGTTCAGATAAGGTTATTCAAGTTGGGTGGGGGAAAGCCAAGATGGTTGCTTGCTGGTGCACCTATCAGCCTATCAGCATTCATTCCCACGAGAAATTTCTCGTGGGAATGAATGCTGATAGGCTGATAGGTGCACCAGCAAGCAACCATCTTGGCTTTCCCCCACCCAACTTGAATAACCTTATATGCCTTCCTCATTGCACATCGTCGCACTCACATGTTGCCATGGCAACGTATGAATTCGAAAAGGATGGATGGGGAAGGCATATCTAAACAGTACTGTACTGAGTGAAAAACATGAAAAACAATTGCCTATCTCCATGGTAACTTTCGAGAGTATGAGTGATAGACGATTGATTTGTCTCTCTCACTCTCGAAAGTTGCCATAGAAACCAGTCAGCAATGTTCTTGCTGACGATGATGTGACCGTACAATAAAAATTACATTTAGAGGTTTTTGTTGTGTTTAGAGCTAAGCACAATTGGTTCGCGAACGAAGCATATGCAACCTCAATTAATGCATTTTTACATTAATTGAGGTTATGTATGCTTCGTTCGCGAACCAATTGTGTTTAAGGTCTAAGCAGAATAGAAAAACGCAATCGTAAATGTAACGGTAAGAATGAGTTAGAAAAGGACAAAACATATGCCTATCCTTTTCTGACTCATTCTTACGTTTACCTTTACCTTTGCGTTTTTCTATTCTGCGTTGGCCTTTAGGCCTTTCGTAGGCCCATGTCATATGTTACCATGGCAACGTATGAGTGCGAAAAGGATGTATGTGGAAGCTATATTCGAACAATACTTTACAGTACTGTTCATGAACGCTTTTCCATCGCATTTTGTCTTACTCATAAGTTGTAATGACAACGTATATGTTAGACAATGTGAGATGGGGAAGGCATATTTGTACCCGAATGTGATATTTTTAAAGCGTAGCCTATTGTGAACCAACTATCATACTTTAAGGGTGCAGTCCCATGTGAGCAGAAAACCGAAAGCAGAACACGCTTTTTATGAGAGTGTGAAGGATAGCGCTATCTTCTGTCCTTCATACTCTCATGAAAAGCATTTTCTGCTCACATGGGACTGCACCCTAAGTTTTCGAACGATGTTCCCGGGCGTCTTGTGTGATAACCCTTACGTTTCTCATGTCACTGTGTGTTAAGCTTTAATCAGTTTCTCGGGTTAGGTTGCGGGGAATGACATGAAGTCTTGTGTTTGTAAATAAAAAAATAACAAATGAACTATGGAACAAAACAAAAGCTATTGGCCGATTGCAAATACCGTCTGCAAATGCAAAATAAATTATAATAACCAAGTGACTCTTATTACTGTTTTAAAACATTGTGAAAATTTTATATTATTTTCCTGTAATGAAGATGATTTCCAGGTAAAAGAACATTTAATATACTCTATGTTTTGCAATTCGTTATATATATATATATTTGAGTTATTAATGTAACATTTTCCTGTATTTGTTTCAACTTCTTTATTTAATGGATGTAATATAGGTATCACACCCTAAAATTTCAGACGTTTCTAATGTAAAATTTAATCGTTAAGAAGTATAATATTAAATTTTACACTTGCCATTAATTGTAGAATAAAGTTTTGAAATATTTTTGTCTGCTTAAAATATTTGTGTGATATTGTTTATAATCTAAATTTATTTTATATTATTAAAATTAAGAAAAAATTAATTGGCATAGTCGAACGAATTTAAGATAAAATCGAAAACTTTTGAAGGGTAATTGTGATAAAAATTTTCATGATGCCTTTAGAGCGGAAAAGATCAGAAAATCAAGAGAACGCTAGGAATTAAATCAAAACCGATAAAAATTCTAGAATTATTCGTCAAACCGCGAATTTTTTTAAAATATAAGATTTTACAACCAAATAGCTTTTTCTCTGAAATTAAATTAACTGTAAACAGAATACTATAGTTTAATTTAAACCATGTGTCTATGTTTTCATCGAAATGGCCAGAAGTTTTATTTGTGAAAATTACATTCTGCTTTTTAAAGATCATTACATATTTTCTTGATAAATATTCATAATAATTTTTTTAAAATGTTTAAAAATAGGGTACTTTTAATAATATGAAATTCTTGAGTCATTTTATATAGTAACAAATAAGTTGATATTTTATTAACGAAAAGAAAACTGCGAATCAGCCGTGAATTGGGTCCACTCAAAATTAATAGGCACTATTATTTTTTTCAAATTTGTCAGTTATGTTAATTCGCTCACCTCAAAAATTTTTTTTATTATATTAACTATAATTTATTTATATATTTTTTTAATCTCAGGAAAAGTGATTGCAAACAATTACCCCTACGTAAAACTGACTTTGATTTGGGGCTTTTTTTGATCGTTAAGTGTGAAAGTAAAAGAAAATTCGCATTTGGGTATTATTTAAAGTAACAAGAACTTTAGTTTGTTAAACTTAATTAAATAAAATTATTAAATAGTGATTTCGCAATGAAATACCTGTAGTGATGCATATCGAACAGAGAGAATAAAGCTTGTTAAAAGAACGGAAGTTTTTCTCCAGCCTGTATACTTTATGAAAATAATTTACACTCACATTGTCACTAGGATTCTTAGTGTAGTGGTCAGCGTTCTTGATTTGCGTTGTAGTCAGCAAAGTACGTAGGATCTTTTGAAAATATTAATTTCTCGCAAAACGCCATGACATTAATGAAAAAAAACTGTATTATGAGAAATGACATTTTTTCTCTAATGTCATGCCATTTAGCGAGATATTAATATTTTCAAAAGCTTTTACATATTTCCCTAACAAATCTCATCTACTTTTAGGATTCGTATCAAAACTTTCCGTTCGTAGAGGCCACTTTTTTCAAGATGTGCTTTTAATCAAGATGCTGCACAGACGCCATTTTACAACAAAAAAATTTTATACTTACATAGTTCTTAATTTAGCCTAAAATGTGTATTAAGGTTAAAACAATCCCTATAACATTGTGAAGTACCAGTTTCCAAGAATATATAAATAAAAAAGCCACCATTATTTTAGTGCTCTGGGTGATGTTACCTCTTAATTGGGATTTTTATTTAATTTATTTATATTATTATTCTTAGAATTCAAGTAGTGATAGTGACGAAAATCAAGACTCATCGTCTCAATCTTCAGAATTTCAAAGTGAAAATGATGTCACAACTGAGTCTTCGATAGATTCAGAAACAACTTCTGCTCGAAATTCCTCTCCGTCAACTGTTGATCAAGATTTAAATGATTCCGATGCTCCAGTGGAACAACCGAGTCCGTTACGTTCTTTTTCTTTTGAACCACTTTTATCACCATCTGAATCATCCACATTAACGATAGATAATAATGATAATAATGATGATGGAAATGATAGTGGTAGTGACGATAATGTTAGTATAGGTAATGCCAGTAGCGATAATGGTAGAGATGCCAATGATAGTAGCGATAACGATAGAAACGATAATGTTAGTGCAGGTAATGGTAGTGACGATAATTCCACTAGCGATAATGATACAAATCATAATGATAACAGCGATAGCGTTAGGGATGATAATGGTAGTGACGATAATAACAGTAGCGATAATGATAGAGATGATAATGATACTAGCGATAGCGAAAGAGACGATAATGGTAGTAGCGACAATGACGTCGATAACGGAAACGACAATGAAATTCGATGGTTCGATAACCCTATTTATCAAAACGCCGATATTTGTGGTGGTGAAGCTTTGAATCAGATTTTAAAAGTTTATGTTTCAAATCGATTAACTAAAAAAGCTTTAGGAGACATATTAAACCTAATGCATTCGTTATTACCGAATGACCACACACTTCCAACAACGAAATATCAATTATTTAAATTAATCGATGATATTTTACCTCAGGAAGCAGATTACACAACAAAGCATAGGATTTGTTCTGACTGCCTTAACCTCGTCGGAGAATGGACAGACACATTAGATGTGCAAATCTATCCACGTTGTAATGGTAGAAATTTAAATAGTTTTTTTTACAATTTAATATTGAAACTGAACTACGTAAAGCTTTTGAAGTGCGAGAGCTTCATACTTTAATTGATTCATATCAGAATGAATGTTTAGGCAGGAATGAGAACATTTTATATGATTTAACTTCTGCTTCAGAATATCGTCGTCTTAAAACGATAGCTATACCTGGTCAATATGACTTTTTCTTGATCTAGTTTACTGATGGAGTTCAAAAATCTAAAAGTGGACGAAGTCAGATGTGGCCAGTGTATGCTCAGATTGCCAATATATCGCCGGAATTTAGAAGGGCTTTTCAATTTGTATGTGGCATTTTTTACGCGAACAGAGGAATCAAAAAACCAGAAATGAACTCATTCCTTACACCTTTTTCATTGATCCTAAATCATTTATTTTTGTATGGATTTGATTGGTTTCACCGAACGTTAAATCGTATGTTTAGAAGTAGAGTAGTTGCCCCGATTGACAGTTTGGATGCTCCTGCTCGTTCACCTGTTCAAAATCTTATGAATTTCAATGGCGAATGCGGTTGTGCAAGTTGTGAGGCTAAAGGCGAAAGCTGTCAAACTTGTGCTGGTTCAAAGTGGATATATCCAGTAGATCCTAAAGAGCCTCCTTTAAGAACATCTGAACGCATGGCCATCCAAACCGCAATTGCTGAAAAGTATGACAATCTAAAGCACTTCAGAGGCGTTACAGGTAGTTCAGTTGTAACCAACATACCTTACTTCGATAGGTCAAAGGGATTTCCTCATGATTATATGCATGCCGTGCTTCTGGGAAAAATGTTAAAGCTTTTGACTCTATGGTGTGATTCCAGTAACCATGACCAAGACTATTACTTGACTAAAGAGAGAAGAGATGAAATAGATAAAATTTTGGCGACAATAACACCACCGGACGATGTGACTCGTATTCCTCGAAAACTGTCAGAACTAAAAGATTGGAAAGCCTCCGAACTCAGAGCTTTCCTCCTCTATTATGGGCCAATAGTTTTAAAAGATCGTTTTAAAAATTCGGAATATTATGATCATTTTTTAATGCTTGTTAAAGCAATCCATTTATTATCAAAAGAGCAAATTATACAGGCAGAAATCGATCTCGCGAAAACTTTATTAAATATTTTTGTCATTGATGTCCCACGATTGTATGGTGAAAATCAATGCTCCTATAATTTGCATCAATTAAGACATTTTGCAGATGATGTCCGAGAATGGGGACCGCTATGGGTTTGGTCAACTTTTTCTTCTGAAGACCAAAACGGTGAGCTTGTCAGAATGTTACACGGGTCTAATAAAATTGATGTTGAGTTAGCAAATACAATCAAAATTTTTCAAGCTCAACGTTGTATTGATCATCTCTTACATCCCGAAAGAAGATTAAATGTTTCCCTGTGTTGCACACATGGTCCACCCGTTGCTAATATTATCACAGCGAGCGAATTGCGTGCTTTAAGTTTTGCGACACATTTCACCCAGGAGCAATTAATGGAAGCATATACTCCGATTTTCAGTAGGTGTAAAATAAATAAAGATATTTATACGTCGAAATTGTATACTCGTCAGGAAAAACGTACAAATTATTATGTGCAGTGTAAAGTAAATGAATCTGTTTCTTTTGGTGTTGTCAATTATTACATTACAATTCAAGGAAATTCGTACGCGGTTATAAGGAAACTTATTGTTGCAAACGACAATCGTCAAGAAATTAGAAACAGAGAAATAGGTTTTAATCTAAATGAAAATATAAAACATGTACGTGATTCTTACAGTATACAAATCGTTCCATTAAACAGAATAGTTTCAAAAGTTTTACGAGTAGAGAATTATATATGCATCTTTATAAACAACATGGAACGAAAATGATATGTTTCGTTATAACATAATTTAAAAGTAAAAATTTGCTTAAATAAAAGAATTATAATTTTTAGGGTTCCGTACCCGAAGGGGGAACCCTATTAATGAGACTAGTGAAGCAAGGCATGTACCCCCCCCTAGCGGCAACACGAATTTATCTAGATGGCTGAAATTTGGTATACATATGTATTTTGGCGTGTAGATTACAGGAAAAATGTAGCGAATCTCATAGGAATTAATTATCATAGCGTTGTCAAGGAAAAACCATGAATTTTTACGAAAAATCCCTAAAAATGACTATGTACCCCCCCTCTGGTTGCCACATGTTTTTACATAGAGAGCTCAAATTTGGTACACTTATGTATTTTTACGTGAAAATTACAGGAAAAATATAGCGAACATGATTCGGATCAATTTACATAGCGTTGTCAAGGAAAAATCAGAAATTTTGAAAAAAAGCGTTTAATCCATCTAGCGCACACACTATTTGACCAAGACAGTTCATATTTGGTATACTTACGTATTTTTGCGTGTAGATTACAGGAAAAATATAGCGAGCACGATTGGAGTTGATGATCATATTGTTTTTAAGGAAAACTCATATTTTTAGAAAAAATCATGGATTTTTCGAATAAAAAAAGAAGAAAATTTTATCTTAAGGAATTCAAATTTATACATTTTTACGTATTTTTACGTGTAGATTACAAAAAAATATAGCAAAAACGATTAGAGTTGATTATCATAGAGTTTTTAAGAAAAAACTGATAATTTTTTATAAAAATCATGAATTTTCTTCAAAAAACAAAGAAAATATTATCTAATGGGCTTCAAACTTATACATTTTTATGTATTTTTACGTATAGATTACAAAAAAAATATAGTGAGCATGATTGGAGTTGATAATCATAGCGTTTTTAAGGAAAAACTGATAATTTTCGTTATATGTGACTATGTGTCTATCTATGTGTTTCTATGCTCACATTACAGGAAAAATTAAGCAAAATTGGAATTTTTCCACATGCCTTCACACTTTAACCCCTTAAATTTTAGGTTTAAGGGTACGGAACCCTCGGTTTTAATGCGAGTGTAACTTGCACTTGTCCGATTTTTTTATATTTAATTCGAAAACGACGATCGATATCGAAAAAGCGAATTTTTAAAAAATTGTTTATCTGAAAGGAAAGCGAAACCGTCATTTTCTCTTGAAAATAAAATGAAAACGAAATCGTCATTATTGACATCGAAAATTGAAACTGAGAATTCTATAGAAAAAAATACTCTCTCATGTGATAAGAATGCAGAAACCAAAACGAGAAGCAATTTTGATGTGATCCTTGTATTATATGCGTATACCTTCGGTTCTCCTGTTAATTGCTCCCTCTGGAAAAGATGTTGGGCTTATCTTTATACGATTTATAAACTGTCGTAACTAATCTTTGTTTTTAAATGTCAACGTTTTCCTAAATTGTAATGGACAGTGAATTAGAAAAACAATTGTAAGAAACCCCGTAATCGATACAAAACCGAAAATTACTGACACTGAAATTTCAAATTCAGACAATTTTGTTGGTATTTTTGTATGTTATGTTTAATACTTCCAGAATGTTTTATAGTGACTGATATTTCGTATATATAAAAAAATCAAATTCATTAGTCTCGAGACGCGTCTCATGTATTCACATCACACATACATACACACAACACCAAATGAGCGAATACACGTACAAAAATATAATAAATATAACTACAATAAATAAATCATGGACAAATAATAAAATCAATGGAAATAGACAGATATAAAACGAACAAAAACTTATCGCTTCTGGAAGGATTTTTGGTACAATGGCGTCGTTTAGATGGTGGCGAAGGTTTGAAACCGGTCAAATTGGTGAAGCCATTTTGGAGATCCGGAGTTGCATAAATTTCACGTCAATTAATATGGTTCAAATTCCAAGTGGAATCCAGTCAGGATCTCCTCAAATATTACAGATAATGGTCACAATAAATCCCTCGATTAATAGGGTTACCGGTCTTATCACCAATCCTCTTCACGCCAAGATCAGCACCATTTTATTTTAAACACCACACCTTTAAAAGGTTAACGGTTTTTTATTATTTACACAATTTAATTTATCAAAATATACACTTCCAAATAATTAATTTTATTATCAATAAAAGAATTTAATTTACATTTAAATAAAACAAAATATTAAATCAAAAATTCTTACTTATGTGTCATCGGCGATACACATATGCATGGTGCGATCAATCCCTTCTCAGAACACAAGGCGATAAGACCGAGAAACCCCGTATTTTTGCATTTATTATAAGTGATAATGATTCCCTTCCCCGCGAACCCCGGTGGTCCCCCAAGTATAACCGATCTCAAACCTCGCTTGGAAAGTCTACTTTAATTTTCCGAACTCATCCGTCATTTCTCGAAATTCGCCGAAAATTTCCTGGAAATACTACTACACAAATCGCACGCATACAGACCATAATAAGCAGACAGCTTGGGACCACATTATCAATTATACAAAAAAAAAATTATTAAAACTAAAATGCTCTGATTCCTTTCAGTATTTTCCACGGAAAATCATGAATTTTCAAATTTTTTTAAACAAAAATTTTCAAAAGTGAAAGTTTTTAAAAACGAAAAGTTGTGGTGAATTCTGCTACCTGAGCACAACGAAAAAGTCTTAATAAAATTTTCCCTAAAATTCATATTTTCCATGGAAAATCATGTTTTTTTTAAATTTTTTTAAACAAAAAGTTTAAAAAATGAAAAGTTATGCTGAATTGTGCTACCTGAGGACAACGAAAAAGTCTTAAAAAATTTTCCCTAAAATTCATATTTTCCATGGAAAATCATGTTTTTTTAAATTTTTTTAAACAAAAAGTTTAAAAAATTATATTTTATGTTTTTTTTATTCAAAACACCTTAACCTAGTTACATTACTAATTTTAATTTTTTAACATTATTTTAACTTATTTTAACTTTTTTTAACATTATTTTAACTTTTTTTAACATTGTTTTAACTTTTTTTAACATATTTTAACTTTTTTAACTTTTTTTAACATATTTTAACTTTTTTTAAAACTTATTTTAACTTTTTTTTAACTTATTTTAACTTTTTTTAACATTATTTTAACTGTTTTAACATTATTTTAACTTATTTTAACTTTAGTTTAACTATTTTTAACTTTTTAAAATCTTTTTTAACTTTCTTTAACGTTACTTTAACTTATTTTAACTTTAGATTAACTTTAAATTACATGTCAGATTTTTTTATCCAAGTATTGTGAGAGTTATCGAATCCAAGCCATTTCACATAGACTTTATTACCACGAGTCTTGAGAACTTTTTCTACAAGGTAAACATCTGAATATTTGACTTTTAAAAGTTCTTCCTCATAGAAACCACCTTCGATAGATTGATTTTGGTAATCCGTAAGTTTGTATGTTACTGGTTTTGTACGTTTAAGTTGATTCACAGTGAATATTTCCGTTGACCAGTTCGGAGTATATCCTTTTTCAAAAATACTTTTATTTTTGCTGACTCGAACTCTATCTCCAACTTTGAATTTTGGTCTTCGTAAAGGAATTCTTCTCAGTTTACGGATTCGTCTAAGAAGCTCTCTTGTATCTTCTACGGTGACATCTTTAGGTTTCATACCAATAGTACGATGTTTTTTATTATTGTACTGTGATATAAGAGTTGGTAAAAGATTTATCCATTTATAATTACCTTGCAAATTGAATTGAGGCCACATCATATTCTTAACCCTTTAAGTCACACATTTTTCTTTTTACTAAATTGTCTTGAAAATTGTTACTCGGGGGTTTTCGGGGACGCTGATTACGAATCTGACATTAGTTTTTAAAAATTCAAAATGGCGGATCCAATATGGCGGACTTGGAGTTGAAAATTAACTGAATTCGCTTGAAAATTGTTACTCGGGGGTTTTCGGGGTCGCTGAATACGAATTTGATGTCAATTTTCAAAAATTCAAAATGGCGGATCCAATATGGCGGACATAAAAAATTAAAAATTGGCTGAATTTCTTTGAAAATTGACACTCGGGGGTTTTCAGGGTTGCTGAATACGAATCTGATGTCAGTTTTTAAAAATTTAAAATGGCGGTTCCAATATGGCGGACTTGGAGTTGAAAATTGATTAGATTTGCTTAAAAATTGACGATCGTCGCAAAAAAAAGTCAGTGAAACAAATGACGATCGTCAACAATCTTTATGATAGTAAAAGAAGGTATACATTGGATTCAGTTACAAAAACATAAATACTAACAATTTTGTAAATAACAATACTGCTGAGTGTAACAAACGTTTATTTTTACAGGTTACTAATCCAAGGGTTGTCAGGTACATGATTTAAAGATAAGCATCTATTATTTCTATTTAAACATTTAAAATTCTGAAATTCTATTTTTATTTTTTTATTCAGCGACCCTGAAAACCCCCGTGTAACGATTTTCAAGCGAATTCAGTCAATTTTCAACTTCATGTCCACCATATTGAATCCGCCATTTTGAATTTTTTAAAACTGACATCAGATTCGTATTCAGCGACCCTGAAAAACCCCCGGTACCGATTTTCAAGCGAATTCAGTAAATTTTCAACTTCATGCCCGCCATATTGGATCCGCCATTTTGATTTTTTAAAAACTGACATCAGATTCGTTATCAGCGACCCCGAAAACCCCCGAGTAACGATTTTCAAGCGAATTCAGTCAATTTTCAACTTTATGTCCGCCATATTAGATCTGCCATTTTGAAACTTAAAAAACTGACATCGGATTCGTATTTAGCGACCCCGAAACCCCGCGAGTAACGATTTTCAAGCGAATTCAGTCAATTTTCAACTTTATGTCCGCCATTTTGAATTTGTAAAAACTGACATCAAATTCGTATTCAGCGACCCCGAAAACCCCCGAGTATCAATTTTCAAGAGAATTCAGTTAATTTTTAACTTTTATGTCCGCCATATTGGATCGGCCATTTTGAATTTTTAAAAACTAAAGTCAGATTCGTAATCAGCGACCCCGGAAACCCCCGAGTAACGATTTTCAAGCGAATTCCTATGAAATATAATTGTAATATAGTGAAAAACTGTGACGCAAAGGGTTAAGAGTGCGGTTAAATCTTTCAACAATAGATGCTTTCAAATTACTATAAGTTGAATAGAGATTAATATCAGTATGCAAATTTTTTGGAATACGTCCTCCTTTTAAAATTAATTTCATGGCTAAAGAAATATCTTTTCCACTTTTACTTTTAACAGGCATAGCCCATGCATATTTTGAAAATATGTCTATAATTGTTAGCATGTACTTGAATCCTTTATTGGAATAGGAGTAAGGAATCATTTCTACCAAATCTGCTTGCCAGGTTTCATCTATACCACGCATTAGAACTTTACGGCGAGGATAATTCCTTCTCGCTTGTTTATGCAGTTCAGTTACAACTGTTAACTTTTTATCATTCATCATCATTTTGAGTAAATGTAGTTTCCTTAATTATAATATTCTGTTTGAATTCAAATCGTTTTAGTTTTTCGTTAACTCTATCTTCAACAACTTGTATTAAAATATTCAAATCATCAATGGCTGATCTTAAAGAAGATGTAATTTGAAATATAGTTTTTATCTCGTTTTTAACAATTTGTTGTACAAGTCGCAAATTTACTGCATCATGCAAATCTTCAGCGTCTTGAACGTTACAAAGTCTTTTATTAACAATATCGTAGTCTCCACTTGCAGTAACCTTAAATCCAACTCCAGGAGGCCCAGGACGTCCACGACTTGTAGAGGCAACAAGTCGTGTTAACGAATATCCAAACACGTCAACACTCATTGTAATACTAAGCACTTCTTCTTTCTGCTCTCTCTTAATATATTATTCTCGCTTCACGAAGTTCTTTTATGATTGATATAATCTCATTATTATGACTTGGATTACCAGCTTGCTGTGATGCTATGAGTAGTCGTAAACGGTCGACAAGTTCGTTTGGATCATCCCAATAGATGTAGTCTGGATTAAATTGTTTCTTTGCAAACATAAATTGAGGTAATATATTTTTATGCTTTTTTTTCTTCTTCTTCTTTAAAACACCACCACCTCTTTTTGGTGTACTTTTGATAAGCTTTGAAATAATATTAGTGTATTTAGAATTTCTAGTTATGTTTACAGGTGCAGTTGGCATGTAATTTTTTCGATATGCATTTGTAGCATTGAGAATTTCTTTATAATTTTCCAAATCACCTGAACTTATTGTAGCTTCATTAGGTTTCTTTTTAAATAAAAGTTCAAGTAATTTAGCAGTTTTCAAATAATTCTTCTTTCCAACAAGCTTAATATTTGAGCCTTCAAATTCAATCGGTGTATCACCAATTATGAAAGAACCGTCAGGAAGTTTACGTATTCCATAAACCATATCTAGAAATAGTTTTCGATTCTTATTTAACAATAAAATAAATTTATTTGTAAGCTTTTCGTAACTTTCTTCTTCATCTTCTTTTTCAACGTTATTGCTCTTATCAAGTAAAGTTTCATCTAGTAGAGTTGTATCAAACTCCTCTTCATCATCATCATCAATTGCAGTTGAAAAAGAGAAATCATTATCCTCTATCTTTTTTTTCAATTTTTATATTTTTGAAAGGTGTATCAGTTACATTTACCAATTTTTGAAGAGGTGTAACTATTGGTTGCAGAGTTTCCTTTAACATTGTCTCTGCAGCTTCTTTACCCATTTTCAGTTGTGGCGACCCTTTCGCGAGATTTTAAAATTTTAATAATTTAAGTGACGTGGGTAGGACTCGGAAGGGGTAGCACATTAGAATGCGATCTTACAACAATGGAATTGACTCTTCTTCGATGAAATGTAATCCAAAGCAACTATGAGATTCGCCATTCGAGACCAGATGAGAACAGCCAGAATAAGAGTGAACTTACCGGTGTAGAACGCAGCAATCCTTGGTTTATCGATCCGCTATTGATTGAATTGCGAAGTGTAAAAGGTTAGAAGCACAAATTAAATATATAATCCAATCAGTAGAATAACACAAACTTTGGTTTATTATTCACAGTAAAAATTCTTAACAAGAAAAGATATATCGCGGTTACAATATATTTCGTATATTAATATTATCTAGTCGCGAGAAAAAGATGTGTCGTATATCGACGCTTGCATCAATCTGCCGCAGACCATGCGGTCCGTCGTCAGCTGGACGACAATCGTGCGCGCCACCTAGTTGGTTGCCCGCGTTGATTTGAATATTATTGAAAATTATAATATAATATATTTTAATAATAAGGGAGAATGAAATCGGAGGAAACTCGATAATAATAAAAACTAAGTAAACGAATATAAAAATAATGTTTGGTTCGTTACACTCCCCTCTCCTATTTCGCAGTTACCTCCGGGTTCATTTGCGTTCACCCTGTTCTGGCGAAATATGATCACTATTTGGTCATCATAGTCGCGTCTAATCTGGTCATAACTTAAATGGAAAAATTGAAATAATTATCAAAGTAAAAGTATAAAAATTAACTTTAAATAATTGCAAATAATTACACCCTTATTTCGGGTCTATAAATATGAACTCGAGAAATATATGATGGAAATCTTTGTAAATGGCGAATGTATCACAGTCGCTTTCTCTCTCTTATGTATATTATTAATCGCTTATCTTCTTAAATTAAAAGAAACTAAACGCAATCGAGAAAATACAACTTAATGCTAAATTTTTTTTGATACTGAATTACTGAGTATTTTATAAAAAAGGAAAACTATTATTTTTGGTTATCGCGAAAATAATCACAGAAAGAAAAGAGTCTTTTTATTCTTCTTTCTCCTCTTGTTTCTCGATGTTGAGTTTTATGACTTCGGAGAGAGTTTGCCATAATACTAAATTATCTTCATCTGATTCACAAGGTGATAGCATGTTTGACACAATTCTTGGCAACCCTGAGTGAGCAGAAATTGACGCTTCCGGTAGAGCGATTGCGGATTCCAGAGGAACGCGTTGTGGAAGTGTTTCCCGGCATGCAAGTGTGATTGATGCATTTCGGGATCCCTTCCGGACAGCACCCTTGGATACATCCTTGGGAACTAAAGCGGTGGACAGTTTAGTTTCTTTGAGTTGGTTTTCCAACTCCTGCATCGAGGCGTTTCTCTGAAGGATGCCATTCGCGATGAGTCTCTTGCGGCATTCAACGCAACTGGTATGGGGAAGATTTTTCGGTCTCCAGCATCCTTTGCATCTCGCGTTTTCGGGGACATCAAATTTCTCCTCAGGAACATGAGGCCATGGACATTCGGAAGTGCTAAAGTCTGGGCAGGAACACTTCTGGCAAAACCGCTGGTTGTAGGGCTTTTTGCAGATTCTAAACCCATGTCCTGTCTCGTTGCAGTTGAGGCAACCTTCTGGAGCTCGTGGACGAATGCGAATTTCTCGTAGTTCACTCTGCATTTTAAATACCTCGGATATCTTATGTTTGAAGAGATCGCGAGTTCGTTTGTGAAGGTTCTTCATATAATAATAATCTGCCTCTAGATCATTATAGTCCTTTTCGTATGAGTCAACATCTTTTTGTAATTGTGAAGCCTTCTTCTTATATTGATCGGCCTCTTTTCGTAAATTGGCAACTTGCGAAGAGAGTTCTTGCCGTTCCTTGACTACTTCTGCGAGGAGTTTGTAGTTGGCGGTGATTTCTTCCGCAGTGCTTGATACGGGTGATGCCTTGACCTGTTGAAGTTC